ATGATAAAAAAAAATGGGAAAAATCAAGGGGGAAAAAAACTCTAAAAACCGTATTCGGTATTCGGCCCAGTGTTTCATTTTGTTCGGTTTCGGCTTCGTCCAAGAATTTTCATTTCGGTGCATCCCTAGTATTTGTTATACTTGCATTTTTTTGAATTGTTATTGCCATGAAAATAGCCTAAGATGCTGACATGGCATTAAATAACCTATACTACTACTACTCTTCTGTGGGACATAGAATAAGCTATTTTGAATAAATGTCTAAACTGGAGACAAAAACAAAATACTGAGCCTATCTTTTGTGTTTCACAGGAGTTTTGAACAATATGACGGTGCATAAATAATGTATTTTTTAATACAGTTGTTAGACTTGCTATGCTATATTGCTAATGCTATATTGTTTGATTGTTGTGTTTTGTAGCGTCTAGATGGAAGAACGTGTACAGTAGCCCATCTCAGTCCAGTGAGGCTGGCGTCTCGGCGTCCTCGTCTGCTGGGTACCTCAAATCAACTAACAAAACACTACTAACCTCTGGCAGCTCAGGTATGGCATTAACCCCATTCACTGTGCATCACACACACACACACACCCTCGCAGGCGTTCACTGGTGTGGACAGAGCGGCTGTGGCTGTATGTGTTCAGGACACAAAGCAGATGACAGAATCAGATTTCATGCATGAGGTGTCTGGCAAGCATTTCTGGCTGGCACACTCCTCTTGCGTTGTCTTCATCTGTGTGTTTTTATGTGTTTAAAAACCTGTTTGCTGTGCAGTGTGTGCTGAAGTCACAAGTGCATGAGTTTCTGCTGTTTAATGAACCTCGTTAGTAACTAGAGATAATTGAATTGCTTTGCTGCATCAGTGTGACTCACTTGCAGTATCAGACAGCGTGATATGGATCAAAAATCATATCTGTATTTTTTTAGACAGAACGGCGGAAGAGATTGGACATACATCCGCTTTTGGATGCAGCCTGTTTATAATAATCTCTACAGATGAAATGGTTTTGCTGCTTGTCTGATGTTTTAAATCAGAATAATCTTCAAAGAATTGAACTAGGTCTGCAACTAATGATTATTTTGATAACTGGTTAATCAATGTATTTGATTAATCAGTTAATTTAACTAAAAAGCCATAATCGTTCTGCATTTATTAAACAAATATTTACAGTCATTTTACATCCTGCCCAGTGTTTGCCCTTTTAACAATATACAAATATAGTTATTGTATCTACAGTATGTGGACTATGCTATAGGCTACATTATGTGGGAAAAAAAGGGTCAACATAAGTTTTATTTATTTATTTTTTTTGTCTGTAGAAATGTGTTATTCACCACTTTAAAGTTACGTGACTGGCATTTCTGTGCACTGTGTGCAGATGCAATTAATCAATAATCACATTTGTTGACCATTTTTTTAGGTAACACTTTATTTTAAGGTTTCCTTGTTACGCATGTTACATGTGCTTACTATTGTAATTAGGGATGCACCGATACCATTTTTTCAGAACCGATCCAATCTGATCCCAAAGATTCTGAGTATCGGCCAATACCAGCACTGTTGTTTTTAATCAATGTAGAATTTCTATACTTCTGTGTGTTGGTCATCACTGTTTTGTGTGTTAAACACAATCTACTAAATATGCACAACTTCATTTTAAAGAAAAATAACAATTGAAAAAAATATATGATCATAATCTATAACAAATTCTATTATAAACTAGATTAGTGGATAAAGTTTAGCAGCAGCGAAAGTTATTCTAGAAAAATCATGTGTGCACAATAATTTTATGAAATCTATACATTTAGTGAAATAACATTTATTTAGTGGGGAACAAATAAAAGTTAAGAAGCGTAGGACTAAATCTGGTAATCTGCTCTTTGACTCTAATGGGGTAATCAAAATAGCCTTTTTACTCAATTAGTCTGCTTTTCTATTTAAATTTTTAGTTTAGTAAATTTAACTTATGCTTTAAAAGCATTATTTTTGTTTTTAGATTGCAATGTTACAATGTTAATGTAATGTGATTTTATCCCTTTTTTGCACAAAATATATGCCTACATGGTTACATTCACTTTGTTTGTTTGTTTAATCCAAATACAAAATACTGAGATATATACCATATACCGCAAATCAGCCAAAAAATACTGAGATATGAATATTTGCTCATATCGCCCAGCCCTAATTACATGCAAGTAACCCTAAACCAAACCCTAATCCTAACCCTAACCATATAGTAAGTACATGTAGTTAATTAATATTACTCAGGACTTATGCATAATTACACCGTAAGAAGGACACCTTAAAATAAAGTGTAACCTCTTTTTATTGTCCATTATTATCACCAGTACTGATTAGTCGTTGCAGCCCTGTTATTGAGTGTATGTTCTGTTGTTCACAGGTTGCATGGGCGTTCCCTCTGCTCTCAGCTCACAGTCGTCTATTGACAGTGAGTTAAGCACCTCAGATGACTCCATCTCCATGGGCTACAAGCTTCAGGACCTGACTGATGTTCAGATAATGGCTCGTCTGCAGGAGGAGAGTGAGTATTGTTCACCTGACACGAATCCAGACCGCGAGAGGTTTTAGCGCGGCATGCGAAATGCAAATAAATGTGGAATGTGGAAATGCTTTCTGTTCTTGAATGTCCTTTGTTTGTTGTAAACTCTGCTTCAACAGCATTCAGGCAAACTGTAGACTGCTGTTATTTGTGTATTGAGAACACTTTTGGGGATTAACTTGAGTCTGTTGTGTAACTATTACACAGCAGTTGAGGGTGAAAGCTCAGAAGTTTCATTATTCGACAAGCATTGCGTTTGTAAGGCCCATACGGTTTGACCCTCTTTACTTTTTTAAAACCAGTTTCTCAGCATGTACAAAATAAAACCCTGCCTGACATTTTTCCTGTTGAATATCAGTTTTTGCTCCGAAAGAACACCTCACATTTAAAAAGTGCCGTTTAATATTAAGGATGAAATGTAGACAAAAGTGAATAGTGATTAGCCTCAAGGAGGCTCTCATTATAAATAATAGAATTTGGGACACACTAATTCTAATTTTGAATACTATTTAGGATGGATAGTATGTGAATTGGAACACAGCATATGTCTTCTCTCACTAATTGGACTTAAAATTTGTAGATTTTTCACAGACTTTCATAGATTTTTTTTTTCTGTAGCACCTT